ATACCTTTGGCAATTTTCTCCACACATTAACAATATTACATCGAACAAGAAGAATCTGTTTAGAATGAGTATGTTCATAGTGTTGCTCCGAGTTAGGCGTGTCACACTACTCGAACATTATTTTTAAAAAAGAGCAAGTTACTAAACTCATGAATCTTTTGAATGCTTAAGATTTGCAAGCTACCTCATCTTAGCCTTCAAATCACATCAACTCTCCTATCGGCAATCATACATAACTCGTCTCTAGCTCTACAAGTATAATTTCCATTATGTTTACTCATTCACAAACTAGTTTTCCATTTCAACCTTACACTTGGATAACCGATATAGGTGCAACTGATCATATAATCTATTCCATTTAGCATTTTAGGTCATATAAATCGTTAACAATATGACGATAAAATTGCCAAATGGTTATAAAGTAATTATTACTCATATAGGTCAAGTTATTTTTTCTTCTTCTTTTATCATGCATAAAGTCCTTTGTGTTCCTTCTTTCAAGTTCAATCTCAATTACGTTAGCAAACTTACTACCAAATCTCAATATAAATTGAACTTCATTGTAATTTTTGTTTGATTAAATAGGATAACTCTTTAGAGACAATGATTTGGAATTGCTAGTACGTAAGTAAAATTGTTTCGTTCATGCCTATTTCGATTGTATATCTTCATCCGTAAAACATTCTTACCATGTTTAAACAATTAGTGATAAGATTGTAAACCCATCGAGTTTATGATCTATGGCATTGTCATTTAGGTCATGTTTCACTCGATAGAATCAAGTTGATCAATCGTGTTAATCTAAGTATTAAATGTAATAACTAGACTTGTTTTGTTTGTCTTTTAATAAAATAAAAATGTCTATCATTTTCTATTCATAATAAAATACTTCTATTCCTTTTGAATTAGTCCATATGAACATATGGGGACCATATTCTAATGCTTCTTTTAGAGGTTTCATTATTTATTAATTGTGGTTGATGACTATACTAGGGTTACTTAGATTTTCTTACTCAAACATAAATCGGATGTCTTGTCTATTATCCTATCCTTTAACCATATAATTCCTATCCTTTAACCATATAATTCCTATCCAATTTTATTTTACAATCAAACAAATTAGGTCCGATAATGGTGTTGAATTTCATCTCCTAAATTTTACCATTCAAAAGGAATCATAGACAAACTATCATGTGTTAAAACTTCTTAACAAAATGGTGTTGTTGAAAGAAAGCACCAACATTTGCTAAATGTAGCTAGATCTCTTCTCTTCCAGTACTTCTTTGCCCATTAAATTTTTAGAGGGATGCGGTTCTTACTGCTCGCTTATTTGATTAATAGAATTCCTTCTCCTTTGTTAGATAATCACACCCCTTATGAACTCTTATTTTAGTCTCCACTAGTGTATGATCATCCGAAAGTATTTGGTTCTTTGTGTTTTGTTTCGACACTCGTACATAATAGGAAGAAGTTTTAACCAAAAGCTTCACCTTGTATTTTCCTTGGTTATCCTTCGATGTTAAGGGTTACAAAGTTTATGATATTATTTCTCATAAAATTCTTATTTCCAAAAATGTTGTTTTCCATGAAACTATCTTTCTTTATTCACCAATTGTTTCTTTTTCTATTCTTTCAACACCTAACATGTTTCATCCTTCCTCTACACCTAATCTATTTGACTTCATCGGTGTTTAACCTTTCTATTATGTTTTTCCTTTTACTTGTTTCACTTCCTATCCCAGATACACACACTAATACATATCATATGAATTCTTTCTCCGATGGCATGATCATTGATCGAGTTTATTCTCTTGATTCCACTAATGATCATACTAAGATTGATTCTTTTTTAAATTCGGCTCATCCTCCTCTACCAAAGTCTATCGGGTTTAGTAGAATTCCTTCATACTTAAGTATTTACCAACACTTATTGCATTCTAGTTCTAAATTTTCTTCCGAGTGATATAGTTTGTTCAAGTCTTTACCCCATTCATCATTTTGTTTCTCTCTCATAACTTTCTCCTTCTCATAATGCCTTTACCATTTCTTTGTCTAACACCTTTGAACCAAAATCATACTCCCAAGCTATTAAAATTGAGCATTGGAAAGAGGTTATGCAAGCTCGAGTTGTAAGTTTTAAAGGAGAAATATACTTGGTATGTTGTGCCATTACTTACAAGATCTCACACAATGGGTTGTAAATGGGTTTTCAAAGTTAAAATCCAGCTGATTGTAGTATTGAAAGGTATAAGACAAGGCTTGTTGCTAAGGGTTGTAGTCAAATTGAGGGGTTTGACTATCAAGAAACCTTCATTCCGAGTTGCTCAACATACTATAGTAAGGTTATTCCCGGCTTTAGCAACGAATTAAAAGTTGGTTTCTCTCTCAACTTGATATTAATAATGTATTTTTACATGGGGATCTTGATGAAACGAGTGTATATGGATCCCCCTCCTAGTTATAAGTTTAGGAGGGAGATTGTAGATGGTCTAAAATTAGTCCGTCGGTTGCATAAATCCCTATATAGATTGAAACGGGCATCTAGCTAGTGGAATACCAAGTTTACTACACCATTACGTATGGTTTTCACCAATCCAAGGTCGATTATTCCCTCTTTACTATGATTACTTGCTTCTCATTCTTTTCTTGCATTACTAGTATATGTGGATGATATTGTACTTGCTAAGAATTCGAATTTGCAATATTGGATTTCAAGATGTTTCTTAGAGATAGTTTTAAGTTCAAGGATATGGGTCCACTTAAATATTTTTTGGGCATTGAAGTGGCAAGATCTAAGAATGGCATTGCCATATGTAAAAGAAAATACACTGCGGAGTTACTTGGAAAAGTATGGCTTCAATGATTCCAAGCCTATTTTGACACCAATACATCCTAAACATCACTTAGTTTTTGATTCGGGGAATCCTTTACATGATCCAATTGAATAAGACAGTTGATAGGCAAGTTGCTATACTTAACTTTCGAGCAACTTTCAGCGAGACCTAATATTTGCTATACGAGTTCATGTCCTTGCCCATTTCATGCATTAGCCAACTTTGTAACACATGCAAGCCTGCTCATAGGATCTTTCGATATTTGAAAAATGTACCAAGACAAGGACTACTCTTCTCAACTACATTTGATCTTCGGTGAGAGCATTTTCGGATAGTGATTGAGCTGGATATCTAGAAATTAGAAAATCGAGTCTTAGGTTACATGCATTCTTAGGTAACTCTCTTATTAGTTGGAAATCCAAGAAACAAACTCTTGTTGCTCACAACGAGTACAAAGGCTGAATATAAGACAATGGTAGTTGTTACTTGTGAAATCATGTGGCTTTTATTCTTGTTATAGGATTTGGGTGTCTTCCATACCAAGGTCGTTCTTTTCTTTTGTGATAATCGATCTAGCTTACATCCGTGTAAAACTCCTATCTATCATGAAAGAACAAAGCATATTGAAGTGGATTGTTACTTCTTACGAGAGAAGATTGTTGGTGGAATTATCCAACCTTGTCATTTGTCCATCGAAGTCCAGCTTGCGGATGTTTTGACTAAAGTTTTACGAGTTTGGTATTTTTCATTCTTTCATCGGCAATACTCGACTTGAGAGGGAGTATTAGAATTAAGTGTCTATGACATATGTGATTTTGTGATTTCTTGATTTGTTTGTCGGTTAATTAGGAGGTTAGGGAGTTAGTTAAGTTGTTATTTTTTGGGTATAAATTTATCAAGAAACAAAATATTGGTAATTAAGAAAAGAAAGGCATTTTTCATTAACTTCTCTCTCTTCTTCTTCTTCTTCGCTTTCCCTTTCTATGCTATTTTCTTTTCTTCTTCAGTTCAATCAGAAAAATCAACAGAGGAGGAGTGGGAAGAGACGTTATGGAATGTATGGAGAGAAAGAGGCTAAAGGGTATGTGAAGAGGAAAGATAGGCCACATAATCTCAATTTTTTGGAGCAGATTCATGTTTTTGTGTCTTGTTCAAGTGATAATTAATGTGAATTTTTTATTTACTTGGTTTAATTGGTGGGAAATTAGAAAGTAGCAATCGTGATTTGGGGTTAATTGTTCAATGTTGGTCTGATGTTGTCCTGTGTTAATAGATCTCAGATTGGTAATGTAAGTTTGAAGTACTTTTTCAAATCTCTCACTCTGCTTCCCTTCCCTTTATTTTTCCTTTCTTCCTAAACTGTAATTCATTATGGGTTTTGATTCTTTATCATAGATAAGCTTTGTTGATAGAATAAAAAAAAATTATATTTATTTAATATTATTTTACATTGAATATTAGCTGAGAAAAACACAAGCAAAATTCAATCAAAGATTAGTTGTTCTGGAGATGTGAATTTGCAGACCAAGATGACATCTTCCAGTGGGTTAGGTATTGGTTTAAGCCTAGTCTTTGTTTGCCTTCTCTTATCACTTGCTGCAGAGCTCTGCTACTCGCTATGGTGGAAGAAGGGATTCGGCAACATAGAAGTTTGAAAAAGATGATGATTATAGCAACAATAAAAAAATTATTTGCAGAATAGAAATGAAAGTGTTTGGTTACTAAAACAAAGAAATGAAGGAAAAGACAAAGTTAATTTTTATTTATTTTTGGATTTTTTCGTTTTTGCTACGTCACAAATTTTTCTGATTCGGTTTTAATTGAAAAACTAGTCGAATGGTAAAATCCAAGAATAAAGAAACGTTGTGCATATATATATATATATAAGGGTGACATTAAGAAAATAAAAAAAGTAGAAAAACGTTTTATGTAATTAACTCTAAAAACCGGGGTTGATGTTGCAAAATCATTAAATTATAAGTACTGAAGTGGAACATTAAGTTACAAGGATAAAATAAACTTTATCCTTTTTCCCCTGAAGAACACAATAATAACTTGACACGTTACCAAAGGGCAACGGAAACTTACCGTACACACAAACGAGAAATGGCCTATTAACTTTATGAACGGAGCAGAAGATGACAAGCATCCAAGAAAACTTCCATCATGCCCGCAAAAACCTCCTCCTTACCGTACACCTCTCTACCTTCCCACCGGGATTTCTATCCCCAAAACGTCATCGTTCTCTCCTACTACCATCCCCGAAACCATTTCATCAACCGCTGCCTCCTCTTCACAACCGCATTCTTCCTCCTCTCCGCCACCGTCTACTTCCTCTACCCTTCCGACCCCGCAATCCAGCTCTCCAGAATTAGACTCAACCACATCCGAGTCAAATCATCCCCTGAGCTCACTCTGGACGTCTCTTTCTCTCTGGCAATTAAAGTTCGAAACAGAGATTTCTTCTCTTTGGATTATGATTCTCTTGGAGTTTCGGTTGGGTATAGAGGGAGAGAGCTAGGGTTTGTGAATTCAAAGGGAGGGAAAATCAGAGCGAGAAGATCTTCGTATGTGAACGCAACGCTTGATTTAAATGGACTTGAGGTTATACATGATGTTTTTTACTTGATACAGGATTTGGCTAGAGGTGTTATTCCTTTCGATACTGAGACTCAGGTCAAAGGAGACCTCGGCCTCTTGTTTTTCAAAATTCCCATCAAAGTAAGTACTAATTTTGTGTACATATAAAATCTATTTCTAAGTTGTTTGTGCTGCTTTAGTATCTATGACTATGAGTTTTTGAAATGTTTCAGGGAAGAGTATCATGTCAAGTGTTTGTGAATACAAATAATCAGACAATTGAGCATCAAGATTGTTATCCTGAGGTCAGTAACTGTTTTCTTTATTATACACACAACCTGATTTGAAGAGTACATTCTATTACTTCTGAAGTTAAATGCATTTCGGTATTCCTTTGTCTGCAAACACTGATGGTGTCTATTAACCTGCTTTTAACTCAATTCATGTTCTTAGTTACGAATTTTTAATAGTTTAAAGATCACCTAAAATTAGAAAATATGTAGTGAATAGTGGTTTAAAATCACTTAATGGAAGAGTCTCCGAGAGATCGAGTTGCTTGAGTTGAGAGAGTATCACTTATTGCTCTCCATTGCAACATATCACCTTGTTTTCTTTATCTAAGGCCTTATCCATCTTCACAAATTTTACATAATTTGCCGAATCCGTGTATGTCAGGGTGGATGGATAGGGGAAAGGATGGATGGGGTAACATGGGAGGATGGTTTACTATTCATCTTGTTGTTTGGCTAACAAGGGTGAGGAAGGATGGGACATGGGAGTCAATCTGTCCAAATTGAGACCATTTAAAAATTACAAAGGAAGAGAAAGCTGGGAGCCAATCTTTCTAAATTGGGGGGATTGAAAATTACAAGGAAGGAAGGATTGGACATATAGGGTCTCCATCCTTATCGCTAAACTAATTGGAAACCCAATCCTTCACTTCCCATCCATCCTGCCCCCAATCCCTCCTAATGAACACACCCTAAGATTTGGATCCTCAAACATGTCAGGCTTTGGTTTCGGGTTCACTGTGAATAGGTGTTCAGTTTTTAATATGATGGAATGCAAGAGATTGCCCAAACAGTTTTCTGGTGGTTGCATTATGCGAGGGTTGATTTTGCTAATACATTGCTCGTACTAGATAGTAGATTTTTGTACCATCCTAGTATTTGTGCTAACTTTGAGCTGCTATCTGATCTTTTCAGTGACATGGGAGTATCAGCAAATCTAGCAGACTGTCTTGAATTACAGAAAAAAAAAAAAATCAGACTTGGGTGCTGGAGATAAATAGTATGTCTTGCCACTGCCTCATAGGTAATGACACAACATGTTCAGTGTGTTCATTCCTTGTGATCAATGGTGTGGTGTGAGCTATTTACAAGTACAATTAGGGCAAAAGATTAGTTTACAAGCAGAATCTGTACTTCACCTTAGTATGAAAGTTAATAATTCTTTTTTTTTTTTTCCTTTGTTTCTTTGGTATGTGCTAACAAGGAGCAGCTATGAAACCGCATCAATAGTAGTGTCATGGACTTTATGAATAATATTTTCATTATCAATAACTCTGGACTATTATAAAAATAAATAATTATGATGCAATCCACACACATTTGGGTTTAAATCTGCTTTACATTTTAGGTTCCTTGTACTGTGCTTTCAGAATATGCTGATTATTACAGCAGCTAGTCATATTGGGGAGAATGGGTATCTGCTCTCTGAATGCTATGAGAAACAAATTAAGATGGTCTACTGTGCATGAAATGTCCACAAAGACCTTAGTAGTTTGCCCCCTTCCTTCCATGACTTAGCTTGCAACTCTAGTTTCATGCCCATTTGCCCTCGGCCCTCCTATGAACAGCTGCTACCTTTGCCCTATCCACTTAGTTTGAGGACTGAAATCCGTAATTGGCTGAAGGATGCTGGAGAAGGTTTAATGCAATTGAGCTTTAGTCCCTGTCTTCTGTATAAAACCTAAAGAGGCTATTGTGTAGGTTTTATATAGAGACGCATAATTGCAATTGAAACTTTATGACTTCATAATAATTCATAAGTCCATATTGTATTGCATGAAATGGAAAGAGTATGTTAATGAATCTTCTATGAAATGGAATAATACTTTTTAACTTTTGAACATGACTTAGCTTGCAACTAAGGTACATATTGACGGTGATGGTTTCTAACGCATTTTAGGTAATTTTAATCCCGGCTATGTTGGCATTCCAAGTCCATATTGACAGTGATGGTTTCTAACATAGTTACAATAGGTTATATCTGATAGTTATTGTCATTAGATCTATATTTTTTTTTATAGTGAACCTTGTCTGGATATAAGACCGGCGCTAATTAGCCAAAATAAAATTAGCGACTGATTTGCGATGGTCCAAAACCGTCGGTAAAATGCCAGTCGTTAAAATTTTACGACGGTTTTTGGACCATCGCTACTTTAGCAACGAAAAAAACCATCGCAAAATTAAAAAACCGTCGTAGTTTTATGACGATTTTAGCAAGGGTTTTAGACTGTCGCTAATATTTGGAATTAGCAACGGTCTAGACCGTCGCAAAAATATTAGCAATGGTCTTAGACCCTCGCTAATTCCGTCGCAAAAAAAAAAAATTAGCGACAATTTTAGCAACGGTCTAAACCGTTGCTAAAATATTATTATTATTATTATTATTATTATTATTATTATTATCCTCATTTTAAATTGATCAATTGCTAATAACTTATTAACAATTTTCTAAAATAATTAACTTTCCAAAATACCATCAATTAAACTAACTAAATTAATAAATAACATTTAACAATAAACTAACGAAATTAATAATTAAAAATTATCGATTAATAATAACAATTAACAATAAAATTAACAACAAAAATTAATAATTAAAGAATTAATAAAAATTAATAACAATTAAAATTTATTAACAATTAACAATAATTAACAATTAACAATAACAAAAAAATTTAAAATTAAATTAAGTAAATAATTGAAAAAAATTAAAAAATTAATTAAGAGGTTAGATGAGGGAGGACCTTTCACTAACACAAGGAGGAGAGTGAGTTGCGTCGGTGAAGAGGCTTTGTCGGACTATTCTGGCCGAAAAATGGCCGGTTGAGGAAGGGGGAGAAAGGAAGAAAGAAAGAGGAAAAGGTGAAAGAAAGGGGGAGAGATGGAGGGGAGAAAGGAGAGAGAGGAGGAGATTGGAAGGAAAATAAAAAAGAGAGGGGGAAGATTTAATGGAAATGGAAGAGAGATCGACGCTGGAGAAGAAGAAGAAGAAGAAGAGAGAGAAGAAATTTTTTCTTGTAAATTTTTAGGCAAATTGTTATATTAGAGGTTGAAAGTTTAAGCGACGGTCTAAAAACCATCGCTAAATGTCTAAAAAAGTTCAAAAAATAGCCATTTCCCTCTTAATTAGCTATGGTTTAGCGATGGTTTTTAGACCATTGCTAATTTATTAATTTTGCGATGTTTTTTGGTAAAAAAATACCATCACAAAAAAGGCTGAAATTAATAATTAAAAAAAAAAAACCGTCGCAAAAAATGGTTACATAAATTTTTTTTTTTTAAAATGAAATTAGCGATGGGTTTTTTTGGAGGAAACCGTCGCAAAAAACCGTTGCTAATTTCCATGATTAGCAATGGTTTTTGCAAAAAAATGGTTGCAGAAATTTTTTTAAAAAAATTGAAATTAGTGATGGTTTTTTTTGAAAAAAACTGTCGCTAATTTCTATCGCTAAAGGGCTTCAAATCGTCGCAATTTTAGTAAATTAGTGATGATTTTGAGACTGTGGCTAATTTTCCCTTGTAAATCTTTTGTTTTTATTTTTAGTGGTTACTTTGTCGTGCTATTTTATGGTGGGGAATTTTGGGGTTGCCGCTTGTCGCTTTACTACTAAAATATGTTGAATCAGATCCCTCTACTGATTAGGTTCTTTTACATCCGCAACGGCTTCCTGTCACCTCCCTCAATAATGTAACAGTGTTAAGCAACTTGTGTCTTCAACTTTGTTGGCCCATGTCTTTTCTAGTTAGTTTGTTTTCTTAAATATTTGTTGATTTGTTATACGTTTTGAAATTAGAAAATAAGATGTAAAAAATTAATTAGAAATTTTGTTTTCTTAATATTCGTTGATTTGTTGTACATTTTGAAATTAGACAATAAGCTATATAAAAAAAAAATAAGAAAACGTTAAGGAAATAATAAACTATTTTGACAAAAAAGAAAAAGAAAAAGAAATCTAATATTTTTTTTCAAATCCGCATTAAACGATAGTTATCCAATCTGGATCGGATTGGTCGGTTCAAACTAGTGAATTGGACATTAGATGGGCTTGGGTTAGAATTATGGACCATTGGGGCATTTGACCCGATCAAAACCCTGTCTGTGTTTCGATGAAAAAAACCCTGTCTGTGAATTGGACAGTATGTTGATGGTTGAACTTGTCACGTGTTAGTCAACAAAACAATGAAAAGAGGGGGAAAAAAATAAAATAAAAAGCTTAATTCTATTTCTAAGAAATTGTCAGGTTTAGTTTTTTCACAAACATTAAGAAAGTTATTAATTGAAGTGCTATGCAAACATTTTTTATTTAAACTTTTACAAAATATTTCTTTTGTAATTTGTAGGTGTTTTTTTTAATAAGCTTTAATTAAGAATATTTAATTAGAAATATTGTAGGTAAACATATAACTTGATATTTTGGTAAGACAACTAATTTCAGATAAATAAAAATAGAAAGGAAAATACTCTTTTAGGATGTGGAGGGAGTATTGTGACGCCCCGGCTCGTTTGCTTATTATCTAACAAGCGTGACCGGTGCGACATACTCGTTAGGATTAAGTCTCATACTTCCTACATCATACACAACGAGGAACTAGACCGTGGAAAACGTATGATATAATTTACAACATTATTATAGATAATTCTATAATTTAGAAAATATTCAAAATATCTAAAAATTTACAAACTAGGCCCATACCTATTTTTGTTTGACACAAAAGATATTTCTATTTTTATGAGTGACACATGAGCCTCTTTTAGCGAGAACTGGTAACATCCTCGATCGGCTTAACTTTACCCTTGTCTAAATAACACACAAATACAATAACGGAATGAGTCAACGCTCAGTAAGTAAGGTGATGCACGTGTTATGTAATACTATTGTGTTTCTCACATTTTCATCCATTTTAATCCGGTACCACAGGTATATGCAAGTTCGTGCGCCCAATCTATCGGTGATCGTGTTATCACCTACTGCTCTATTACTTTCTCTCGGTGATCTCAATATCACTTACTCGCTCGTAACGTAATTATCCCTCGTTGTAGCAAATGGTTAGCGAAATTATCCCTCGCTTAACGATATTAGTAAATAAAGCTCGCACTATGGATTCCTTGCTATTACCCATTCCACTCAATTCCGTTACCAAACCGTGCCAATTCAAGACTCAATGATTTTTCTCAATTTATTTCCACCCCCAATGCATATGATGCGCGTGATGACATGTTTAATCACATTCAATTAAACTCGGGTACCGATCTTTTTTCCCAAGCCATACTCACGGTCCAACCAACACTCGGGATTCACCTTGCGCTCACATACCAATCATGGTACTCATAGCGAGAACACAACCTCCGCTCCTTAATATTGTTCATTAGTTTCATTAATAATTAAAAGAATGTCCAATTCTTTTTTTTATTCCTCTGCGAAAGAATAAATTTTCTTTAAAATTTTCAAATCCTTTTTATTTCTATCTAAGTCCATTTATTTTAGTCTAAGCCTATTTCCGTTAGTCTAAGCCCATCTACTTTAAAACCAAGCCTTTTGATTTTAGTCCAAGTCCATTGTCAAGTTTATATTATTTAAATCCAAGCCCATTAACATTAATCCAAGCACTGTTTATTTTAATCCAAGCCCAAGTCCATTTTTTTAAATCTAAGTCGACTTTATTTTTAAATCCAAGCCCATCTCATTTTACTCAAGTCCATTTAATGGAATCCAAACCCTTTTTGTTTTGTCTAAGCCCATTTGTTTTAGGTTAACAATTTTTCGGTAGTGGTGCACCTAAACAACCTATACCAAATTGATCATAACTTCTTAAATATTTATCTAAAAATCATACAATTTTAAGGAGAGATAGTAGACATACAGATCAACAACTTTCATTCTTTAAGTTTCCTTCAAAAAGCATTCTAAAATCCTTAAATAAATCACATAAGTTTTGAAACTAAATAATTTTTTTCCAGTAGGTGGTCCATTCAAACGATCCGTACCAAATCAGTCATAAATCTTTACATACAGATCTAAAAATCATGAACTTTTATATACATCTAGGAGTCAAATAGATGAACAACGTTTCTTCTTTGACTTCTGCCCAGAAACCACTCTATGTTCCCAAAATAAATCACACAATTTTCAAAATGAAATATTTTTCCGAGTAGGTGATCCATTCGAACAATCCATACCAAGTCAGTCATAACTCCATATATATATTTCTAAAAGTCACAAAATTTTAAATAGATATAGTAGACACGTAGACCAATAATTGTTATTCTTTGTATTTTTTCTAAAAATCAATCTAAGATCCCGAAATAAATCACACCAAGTTTGGGTTTTTCCACCCATAAAATCTAGAAATCTTCTCTTAAAGCACATTTCTCATCACACATGCATAACCATCAATCATCAAACATCAAGTGTTTAAAGTCATCACAAAATACCATAATCACATTTTACATGAATTAAACAACTCATAG